GGAATTTTGTAAAGGACAGTTCTGAATGAGACCAAATCTGGTCAGTGTCATGTTTACCACTGTTGTGAAGCATCTCTTTTTATCAAGTCTGTAACTGAGTAGACCCAATGGAGATTTTTCAAGTGGAATGTTGTCTCATTCTTGTCTGGTGTAGGATTTTCTGATATGTATGTGTGTGTGTGTATGTGTATATATATATTTGTTGTAATTTGTAATCATCAAAATTAAACGAAATAAACATTTGAAATATATGAGTTTGTATGTAATGTATGAATATAATATACAAGTTTCACTTTTTAAATGGAATTACTGAAATAAATCTGCTTTTTCATGATATTCTAATTTTATGACCAGCACCTGTATTGTAGACCAGCCCAGGCCAACCTGTACATTGGGATCTACCGATAGATCTTTAGCTGATTAGCAGTAGCTCACGGAGCAATGGATCACGGAGCTTGTGGAATGCAACATTGTTTAACATTGCAGCCTTAAACGCGCCCTTCGCAACATTTGTTTAACACTGCATTCTTCAACCAACTCTTTGCAATGTTTGTTTAAAATTACATTCTTGAACGCACCCTTGTCATCGTTTGTTTAACATTGCATTCTTGAACGCACTCCAGTCTCGCTAGTTTTGGGTGCTGTGAAACAGCACTCCAAACATGGTCTTGCGAGATTAGGGTCATGTGTTAAAACATGGCAGCGAGGCAGAAAAAAAATGATGAACGAAAGACAGCTAACAAGCAAATAAAAACTTTTTATTTTCACCTGGAGTGGGAAGAGGACTCATATGTAATTCGAGTGCTGCCTTGGCTTGTCCAAAAAGGATAACGTGGAACAGCATTTCTTTCAAAAGAATGCACAGATGCTACGAGGTGGATTTCCCCTCCTAAGGTAAGGCTGCTATGCTAATGCAGCCCCGTACCTGCCTCAACACATGTCTTTCAGAGATGACGAAGTTATGAAAGAAGCATTTGATGCTGCAGACGTGCTTTTCTGTGATATAAAAAATAAAAGTGAGATTGTGGCTGCTATAAAGATGTGCAGTTTTCCACCAGGATGGATGGATGTGTCCAAATTCGTGTCCGTTTTTCATTCTGTACTGCTCTGGGTTGAAAATTAGGTTTTGACTCTGCAAAATGACATTGGGATCAAATCCAGAGCAACAAGTCACATGGATGGAGAGTTCTGGAGTCAGCTTTCTCTCACATGAAAATCATCAAGTCCAASAACAGATCCACAAAGACTGGTGATCATCTGGAGACCTGCTTACACCTGAACCACCTCATAACGCCCACCTATGAGACCCTGGCTTCCTCTCAGTGTCAGAAGTCCCACTAAGGTAGACATACATTTTTTTACATTATTTATTTATACATTATTTTTTAATAGCTTGCATAAAAAGTTGTCTCCTCTAGACTTTTCATAATGTGTCTGTATGTTGTTTTTTATT